GTCAGACAGGAGGTCGCCCCTTTGAGAGGGTGGCCTCTGCCCGGATCACGTGACAATGCAGCATACGGACCCATGCGATTGTATCTCATCCCCCAATACGGTTCCGGCGATAGAGTCTAAAGTACTGGTAATATATCTAACCATAACTCCTCTACCGCTAACCCAATGGAGGTGGTTCAAGAACCTATGAGCTCCTAATGGACTCTACTTTTATATGAGATATTCAACCGCATTGTTCATTGTACTTTAACCTCCCAGTAACCCAATTACTAGAGAAACATACTACCCCCTGTGCTTTACACCACACCGGATCAACCCCATAATCCCTTGGAGTGTACTCCACCACTTTCTTGCGGTTCCCATCTGCCCATGACCGCGCAACACATCATAATAGACTATAATGTTCATAATCACACCGGTTCCATCAAGGAATATTGCCCCAAATGGTCAGAATGGACTAAATGATCTAGATTGCTTTAATTACCTCATTATACCGAAAATTGGCCCATTTAACAAGATGAATATGGCGATCATGATTAACACATTTCGAGACTCAGATGAACACATCTAACTCATCTAAGTCATCTAATTGCCCGTCACAGTACAATACAACGTCCAATCACTAAATAAGTGGTGGTTAGTATAAAACTGGGCAGAAAACTACTGCCCTCGGAATGCACAAGATGCTAACTCAAAGAGAGCTTCATTCACATCTGCTATGTGCAGGTAATGGTCAGCCATACACACCAGGGCATGCCAGCCCTTGGCCAACTTTCCACTTTTATAATGGCTGAGAAATATATAAAACTTTCCTACGGGTTTTAAACGTAAGTATTTCCAAAACGTATGTATCATAAAATTCTGGCCTTAACTTCCACACCATAAATCTGTCGGTGCAAACAAATCAGACCGGGATGGACCAGTTTGACACTCACACACTCCAGCCCCGCAATCAGCAACCTTTCAAGGACTTTTTCACTATAGAAAAGTGTAGCATTCTTTCATGTAAGCACCTACTACATAATTTCTATACACACATGTGAAACATCAAATACATGCAGTAATTTGCATTCTATATTTAAAAAGCCCCTTGGTAGGCACTGACCCTGCCCTTCGTCATATGTGAAACACACAGCCTCACTTACCTCCTACTCCCGGTTAGACAGAACTGACCTTCGGTGAATCTCCAATAGCCAGGGCGTTAGCCCCCCATCTGGCATGCACTGTTCGTATTTATAGGCCAGCTAAGCCGGTTGCCAGTCTCCTCAAACCAAAACACAGATTCAGGTAACAAAGGGTAGTAACAGGTAGTAACAAAGAGGCAACAAAGGGTTCTGTCAACCGATGTTCGTTACACGGCTTTGTTCGACAAAGGTTTCATGTCCCAGACTAACAATAACCCCTTTATACCCATGCTGAGGTCTCTCCCACTCTCCCTCTTCCCGGTTTGTTATACTATTCCCCTGGACGAATTACACCGCTAACCCGGTACCTCACACACTGGTCACTACCTACCCTAACTATCCCACTACACAACACAGCTAACCGGGTTCCACCACACCCTCACTCCGCGGTCCGTGACTGCTTCCACTCCGTTCTAGCCCCTGCGTCCTCCTCACTCCGCCCGCGCTTCTCTCCTTACGCCACATCCACTATCCGACCCGTGTAGGCTTGCACTAGCCGATCCTCAAGTCCGTTGAACTTCGCCCAATGGTAGTTCAACCTCTGCAATCCAGCCGCACTATTTGCCTCGTACTCCGCAGTAAACGGTATGTCGAACCGGACGAGGAGTACCTCCTCGCCAGTTTCTTTCTCTAGTTGTGGACCCCGCTTCCGCGCCACCTCCGCCCCATGGTCTGCCAACCATTGCGTGACTGCCTCGAGGTAGGCTTCCCCACTCAGGCCGGCAGCCTGCTCCTCCGCCGAGCGCACTCCAAGCTGCTTGGTCGCTGGCAGCGATTGCATCCCGTCACGGCGCACGGCTCGATTCTCGAGATCGGACGGGTTGGATCCATCCATCCACTCTGCCATTCGCCCACTTCCTGGTCTGCATGTATCCCTTTCCATGCTCGCCTCCTTCGCGCCGTCCCTCTCCACCGTTCGGCTTCCCAACCTGCCCGTCATTGGCTCCTCCGCTGTCACACGATGCGGCGCCTTCCGATGGAGGATGGCGCGCACCCTCCATTTCCGGTCGCCTTCCTGCGAAAAGGCCGGTGCTGAAGAGTGCGAGGGTTGCGCCCGCCTTCGCCACCTCGGCGTGGAGGGTGCTGTACCACCACTCTAACGAAAGTGGGCTTTCGTGCGCTTGGGTCGCCATTCGGTCGGCTTCTCATGCAAATGGGTAGTGGGCCAATAGTTTGCTACCCACGGCCATGCTGCAGCATGCAAAGACCACAGCTGGCAGGCCCAGTGGTCACGCTTCTCAGTCACACAGTGGATTCCGGGGTAACCTCTCTCGGTCACACAATGGCGGTATGGTTAATGGTGTAACATGGATACCCCGCAGCCCAAACTGGTGCTGCGGATTGTCGCTACACGGTTGCTGTGCATTCTGTCTATTTCCCTTGCTTTCCACTTATGCTAATACTAAACTATTGGCCCTGAGTGAATAAACATGTTTTTAACATGTCTCCCAAGTTGAAAACGGGATGCACATGTTTTTCCTTCACATTGCACTTTGTTTTTCTCCTTTTGGGCTGTCAAACCATTTCCTTTCATTGCATCAAAAACAACTCATTTTGTTGATCATTTCTGCAAAGATGGCTTAAACTGTTTGCCATTTTGCCGTTGTGCCAAACAGCACACAACAAGTCTTCATCATTTTGCAGAACAAGGCAAGACGTGGCCGTCAACAAGTCTTCCCAACCCCTACACCCCCCTTGCGCAGGAAAAATAGGGCTCATCACAAGCCATTGTCAACTGCAGAAGTTGCCCCATCGCGCAGAAAATGGCGGCAGTCATGTTGAACAAAATGAGGAGGGCGGGAGCCGTATAGGCCATTACGACGTATTAAAGTCGTAACTGGATGCTAGCGCCCAGGAATCTCACGCTCCGTCCGACAACACCAGCCAACGCTGCCAGGAGAGTCAATAGAAATTCCCCAACCCAATGGATGCTAGCGCCCAGGAATCTCACGCTCCGTCCGACAACACCAGCCAACGCTGCCATGATCGCAGCCCCTTCCATGGGCGATCCCGGAAAGCTCATGAACATCTCGCACCTCACCACAGAGGTCTCCCCCAATTCCGTACGATGCAACGTCCTCACAGCATCCACTCGTTGCGCGTACCGGCCGATCCGCACTCCCATAGGGTGCTACGGCACTCCAGCACCAGCGACGGCGCTCGCGTTGCGTAATGCGCCGCCCTCAGTCACTCCGGATCCCACGAACGTCTTACTCACCACTCAGCGCGAGTGTGAGAAACGCCACAGAGCCTCGGGGCTCATTAGGCCGGCTTGCGGACACACGGGTACCGCAAGAGGGCAAGACCAGTGATTGGTCGAGCCGGCGGGGGGCTGTGGCGCGACGGCGGGGAGGTACAGGCGGCTGGGACACGGATTGTCACACAGAGGCCTGCCGGAGAGCTGCCTGGACAGACTCCCCGCGGCTTTTTATTACAGGAGTGTCTGTTTGGTACAGCTGTTACTCATTGGTTCATCCCTCTCGTCACCCTTCCGAGTCCACTCGCACTCCCGGACAAGAAAAGACCCAATCAGTCACACATTCCA